CTACCCCGTCTTTTACTTGTGGGCAAACCCAAAGGCGTTCGCAGCTCTGTCCCACGGGCCGTGGTTTCCCCTGCCAGGCTGGGAGGAGGTGATGGCCACCGCAGCCCCTGCGTGTCCTCCGTGCAGCCCAGGGTCTGTGGCTCTGCAGCAACTGTTCCAGCATGGCATCCGTCGCTCAGGTTTGCCACTGGCTCTTTGCCACTAAGCCAGGGAAATCAAGAGACACGGCATTTTCCCGGGGTCTGTGGGATGGTCCCACCTCCTACTTGGGGCTGCCCTGCTCACGAGAAGCACCCTGACTTGGTGTCGTGCCATCCTTCTCCACAAACAGTGGCCCTGTCCCCGTGTCCCGGGGTGCCTGGGTTGCCCCCACACTGTCTCCCCTTGCCATTGACCATGGCAGTGCGTTGAGCCAGAGCTCGCAGCCATGCCAACGCGGCTGGAAAACTGGTTGGGGATGCAGCAAACCCACCCTCAGCATCCTCCATGCTCAGCTTCCCTGTGGCCGTTGTTCCTCCCACTGCCTTGCCCGAGATAAGTCTTCCCTGAGGGTTTGTTTAGTAGGAAACTTCTCCCCCTCCCAAACCCTCAGCTCTCCTTTGCTCTTGAACCCGGAGGAGAAGGAATACTTGAGTGGGAGCAGCTGTACCCACCTGGGGTTAGAAACCCATAAAAATCGTGCAGCTCCATTGACCAGGAGCTGCTGGGCTCCAAGCTGTGCCGGGGACCTGCTGTGACCCTGCGTCTCCCCAGCCCTGGGAGAAGGGGGACTGCCAGCCTCGGCAGGGCAGGGGAGGGATTTGGCTGAGTCCTCCAGCTGTCGATTGGGACTGGTCTTGGCTTGGCAGGAAAGTAGGGGGGACATGCAAATAAGAGGACTTTGGTCAACCATGACCAAGAAAGATGGCTATCAGGTGAGCCTACCATAACGAGCGGGTAATGGCTCACTATCAGATGCCTTTAGGGCGACCAAATAGCAGTTTAATGGGCCCTGTGCTGCAGTGGGCTGAGGGCCCTGGGGGTGCAGATTGCAGACTGGATAAGCCACCCCGTAGTTCAACTCCCATCCGTTATTTAAATGCAAAGGTAAATGCTTTCATCTTTTCAACTGGAATGGTGCCACCAGCTCAGCCACCTCCTGAAGGTCCCATCCTGGTGGCCCACAGGCAGGAGTCTCTTGGCAGGGGACAGCCATGGCAGGGCAGAGAGGGGAGCCATGCCCTCTGCGAAGGTGCCACCAGCACCCTGGGGACAAGGTGCACAGGCTGAGCAGGAGGGTGGCACTAGGGACGTGGGACCTGACCCTGCATCCTCCTCTCTGCTCTTCCCTGCACCAGGACCCCAGCTCTGGTGCTGCGGCCCCGTGGCCCAGCCGTGGTGGCTTTT